TATGTTGTACTGGCATTGTCATTTAATTGTAGAATCCGATTTCTTAATTTCCTCTGTGACCTATTGGTTATTCAGAAGTGTGTTGTTCAATTTCCATGTGTTTATGAAATTCTTGTGGTTTCTTTTGGTATTCATCTCCAATTTCATCGCACTATGGTCTTATAATATACAGGGGATAACTTCAATTCCTTTGCACTTACTTAAACATGTTCTATGAGTGAGTATGTGGTCTATTTTAGAGAACGACCCGTGTGCAGCTAAATAGAATGTGTATTCTGATTTTGTAGGGTGGAATACTCTGTAAACATGTTAAGTTCATTTGTTCAAGAGTTTGATTGAGTTCTAGTATTTCATGGCTTATTTTTTGTCTAGTTGATCTGTTTGTGACAGTAGGGTACTGAGGTCTCCCATTACTATTAGTGCTTATATGATTTTTCATGTCTGTATTTGTTTTATATAGTTGGGAGTACTAGTGTTTGGTGCATATATATTAATGATTGTCATCTCTTCCTCTTGGATTGTTCCCTTTACAAGGATGTAGTGTCCTTTGTCTCTCTTAATCAGTGTTGGTTTGAAATCCACTTTATCTGCAAAGAGGATAGCTACTCCTGCTCTTTTGCGGGTTCCTGTGGCACAGAGTATTGTTTTCCACCCTTTAACTTTCAGTCTATGAGTTTCTTTTTGAATTGTGTTTCTTGTGTGCAGCATACATTTAGATCTTGCTTCTTGACCCATTTTGCCAGTCTATTTCTTTTGATTGGTGAATTGAGACCATTAACATTGATGGTTATAACTGATATGAATTGACTTACGCTTGTCATGACTTTTTCTTTTTGGATTCTCCCCCTTTGCTTTTAATTTCTTATCGTGCCTGATGAATTCATTCTACAGGGCTTCCTGGGGTTGTGATCCTCATTATCTTTTCCTAGGATGCTGTTTAAAATTTTTTGGAGTGCTGCTTTGGTATTCATGAAGTTGCTTAGGTGCTCTCTGTCATGCAAGAATCTTATTTCTCCATCAATTTTGAAAGATAGTTTTGCAGGGTACATCAATCTGGGTTGGAGGTTGTTTTCCTTTAGGGTTTGAAATATGTCACTCCATGCTCTTCTTGCCTTGTAGTTTTGTGTTGAAACGTATGCTGTGATTCTGATGGGCTTCCCTTTGTAAGAGATTTGTTTCTTTTCTCTAACTGCTTGTAGAATTTTGTTCTTCTGTTGGGTTTCTGGAATCTTAACAATTATATGCCTATGTGTAGATTTGTTTTGATGAAGGCTAGTTGGAGTCCTATATGCCTCACTTATCTGTATTTCAAGTTCTTTTCCCCTGCTTGGGAAGTTTTCTGCTATCACTTCTGTGAACAGTTTTTTTTATGTCATCTGCACTCTCGCCTGTTTCTTCATTGACTCCAATCAGTCTTATGTTATTCTTCTTTGCATTGTCTAGCAGCTGCTGGATCGATTTCTTGTGGTCCCTTACTATTTTTAAGAAATTTTTCTTTTCCTTGTCACTAATTGCAATCCTATCTTCTATACCTGAAATTCTGTACTCACACTTGCTCATTCTGCTGCGTAAACTTTCAATTGGGTTTTTAATCTCCTGGAAATCTGTTTTATGGATCCCATTTGTTTCCTATGTTGGGATTCCATCATGTTCCTCAGCTCCTCTATTTTTTTATCTGTGTCCACTCTAGATTTATTAATCATGTCTTGCACTATGGGCACAATCTCTGCTATTATCTAAGAAATTATTTCTGATTTCATTTTTTCTAGGTCCTCTTTTGCTGCCAGTTCAGGGAGTCCAGGTGGTTGAGTATCAGATTGTTCCTTCTCATTGCCCTTTGAGGTTGCCTTAGGTGATCTGGAAGTCTGGTTTAGGGATTTATTTACATGTCTTCTCATTTCAACAGATGGAGCCTGCTGTGTCTTTGTTGAGGTGACTTTTTGCTCACCCAGTGGTCTTGAATTCTCAGCAAGCACCCTTTATTCTGCTGCTCACCAGTATACCAATTCCTGGGTTCAGAGTGGTGGCCTTCTGGATCTCCCAGCTCACCTGTTGTCTGGGCGCGCTTCTGGCTGGGGCCTGTGCACACTTGGGATGGTATCTAGGCGTGCCTCTCACTGGGGCCCCCATGTAGTTCTTGTCTGGGAGGGCCTCTAGTTGGGAGCTGTGCACCCCAGTTCCTGTTGTCTGCACAGGGTTTTGGTAGGGTTGCCACACACTTATCAATTGTATTGGGCAAGCCTCTGGGCATTGCTTGTGTGCTATTACAGCTCTTCTCCAGGGGGGGTCCCTGGCTGTGGCAGGCCTCTGGCTGAAGCCCGTGCACCTGTGCAGCCCCTTTCCAGGTGGGCCTTTGGCTCCAGCAGGTGTGTCCAAGACTCTGGGATCAGGGCAGACCCCCAGCCGGGATCCACTTGCAGCCGAGCAGATCTGGGCCACATAGCTGCTCCCTGGGATCTGCACACACTCCCAGAATCAAAATATTAAAAGCCCCATTAGAAGAACTATCTCAATAGGCAGAGAAAATATCTTTAAGACACAAAGTGTCTAAAACATATACTTAAAAACAGGAGTTCTAAACCAAGGGTTCATGGAAAATGTTTTATGTGGAGTTTCTTAATGTACAATTTTAAGCTTTCATTATATTGTCAAAAAAGTAGATAATCAATGTAGAAATATTGTTCAGGTATTAATATAGGTCCAGCTATTTTAAAAGTTCCAAAATTATTCAAACAACACAAAATAAAATATGTCTAATACTAGAAGAGTTCCTGGTTAAGAAAATCATTATCTTTAGTAATAAAATTAAAATTCCAGAGGCCGGGCATGGTGGTTCATGCCTGTAATCATAGCACCTGAGAGACTGAGGCAGAAGAATTTTAAATTTAAAGCCAGCTTAGGCTATGTAGCAACAATTTTACTATCATGTTTTCACCCAAAAGAAATAAAATCATATTCCTGCATAAACAACTATACACAAATATTCAGAATAGCTTTGTTCATTAATACCCCCAACCAGAAATAGCTCACACTGTATGATAACCACTGTGCTATATAAGCAGTACAACCACTTGCACACAAAACACAGATGAATCTCAAAAATAAACTGTCATATTCTCACAATAAAATATACTGATGAATCTCAAAATAATTACTCATTGAAAGAAGCCAGATAACCAAAAAAGAGTGTATACTGTATGAATCTATGAATACAAAACTTTTAAAAAATGTAATTTAGAGTGAGAAAGTGCTCAGTGTTTACCTTGGACTAGAAATGGGAACTGACTGGGGGAGGTACAGGCAAGCATCCAGGATGATAAAGGCATCCTTCATTTAATTGTGCAAGTAATCACACAGGTGTGCAATTCATCAAATTCACCTACACTACATGATTATAATGCACACACTTAACTGTATGGAATGTATTACCTCACTGAAGTTAATTTTTAAAAACTGTTTTTTAGGGCTGGGGATTTAGCTCAGTGGAGCTGCTGCCTGCCTGGCAAGCACAAAGTCATGAGTTTGATCCCTGGTACCAAAAAAAAAAATACGCTCCTCAGGAAGACTGTTACACCCATGGAATAAATAAAAACTGTTTTTTAAAACTGTTAAAATGTTGCCCCACACAGTGTGTGGAAATAACTAGAGGACTGCATGCCAGCAGCATGGCTTTCTCCTCGGTGCGGAGCTGCAGGCTGCAGCTGACGGCTGGGGTGCAGCTCAGCAGGGCAGCCTAAGAGGGCCCCAAGTTCAGTGTGCAGCACCACAAGAAGAAGAGTGGACTCAGAGGCTCCTCTTAGTGTGTGCTTTCTTAGCCAAGATCAAGTGTACACTGCACAGATAAAAGGAGTGAGGCCAGGGCCAGACCTAGGATTTAAAACCTCCCAAAAGATGAAAAAAAGGAAAAAAAAGAATTAAGACATGTTACATACATGTACCAACTCCCCATAATGAATGTAATCATTATATACTGCAAACATGCAGTAATAAAAATTTCAAAAGTTTGTAAATTCAAAGAAAACATGCCAGAATGCTACTCTCCTGTCATTTCTGTAAAACTGCCTATGGTAAGGTAATTTTAAGACTGAAAGTAGTACTAGCAAGTTGATATTGATGTTATTTCATGTCAAGCATTATGCTAATTCATGATGTATGTAGTCACGGTATCATTTCCACTTATCTATAAATACTTCAGGGAAATATTTAATAGATACACTGAGACAAAGAGATAAAACAGTTACTTGCTCAAAGTCCAAGGGGACACACTGAGATAGAACCTGAGTCTATCTGATGCCAGTGCTCTGCTCTGCACTGTTTTGCTGTTTCCCCTCCAACTGCACTGCACACAGCAGCCTCTGAATCACGAGGCGGCTGCACTGCGCCGGCCTGTGCAGACTGCATGGGTTCCCCTTAGCTGTGCTTGCAGTTCTGGGAAATGCTAATGACAAGGCATGAAAAGCTTTAGATTTTATAAAATATCATTCCTGTGTGGTATAGCTATCAAATACTGAAAATAATTCTACAGACTGAAGAGCTGTTAGTCCTGAAGAACTTCTCTAACTTTATTTCCTAGTCTGCTCTAAGCCTATGATATGACGTTGCTAAGAGTCACACAGAGGGAAGACACAGAAGGACCTCAGGAAACCTCTTCTCTTGGTAAAAGGAGAGGTACAGCAGTTTCTTTCTCTCTAGTCTCTTTAATTTTTTTAGCTGTGTGCCCTTTTGTGAAATTCTGTATTTTAAAGTTTCATACATTTCCTTAGCTTTCCTCTCCAGAGGTTTTGCTCATGTGGATTTGAATTACTCAAGATTATTATGTTCTGGAAATGTTTTAAATGGATGGTAACAGTGATAGTAATTATACTAAACCCAAATTGTCTAATTTAATGACTGACCAAAAGAAAATTACTAATTGATTATTCTGCTCAAGAATATATAAAATAACAAAATTGTAGCAAAGAAGAAACCGACCATATGCCAATATGTTTCTGCACAATCACCTGAAATCACAAGCTGTTGTGAATTCTGCTCCTCCGCCCAGCGCTCGCCCTTGAACCAGTGCAACGCTTATTAAAGGAAGTCTGCGTATCAAAGGAAAAGGGAAGTTAATATTCCTAATTGCAATATTAATTAACAAATGTTATTTTAAAAATCTTGAAATGCAGTGGAAATAAAACTACTGCACCGTGTTTATAAGAAACATGTATCAAAGAACAGTGGAACCTTAAAAAAAAAAAAAAAGAACAGTGGAACCTTAAGTCTATGCTGTAGCAGAAGAAAAACAGTACAACACTAAAAATACAATAATTCATATTAAATGCCACGTAAGTGCATTTATTTTTTGTACTGGATATTGAACCCAGGGCCTTCCCACTGAGCTATATCCTCAGCCCTTTTTTATTTTCTGACAGAGTCTCACCATGTCACTAAGTTGTCTAGGCTGGGCTTGAACTTTTATTCTCCTGCCTCAGCCTCACATACTGCTTGAATTACAGGTGTTACCACCATACCTAGAAATTTTTAAACTGAAAGCATATTGAAACTTTATTCCAAAGACAGATGCTCTTCTTGTATAACATAACTCCTGGAGCTTCCCAGCAGGTGAAAATCCGAAGTAACTCAGTGTAATATTGTCTTTGTCCGTTTTTACTAATCTTAGGCTAAGGGTAGGAAAATTAAGGTTATATCCGAAGGAAGAAGTTGTGGCTACGTACTGACGTGCCCTATTGAAAGTCAGCTTATTACTGGCTGACATGATCCATGGAATAATCCTATGTACAGGTATTATTTTAAAAATAAATTTCTTAACTTTTTATTTGTGAAGACTCAATTATAGGCATATGCAAATATTACAAAGTAAATCTATATTTTAAAAGTAAGAAGGCTTCTGTAGGTTCCAATCCAAATTTTAAGTTGCAGTTCTAATATAACTGAATATTTAATATACACTACTCCCAAGTAGAAAGGATTATCTAAAAAAATTACTTGGGACTCTCCTGCCTCAGCCCCTGAAGAGCTGGGACTGCAGGCATGCACTTGAAAATAAGAGGGTTGAGGATGTAGCTCAGTGGTACAGCATCTCTAGATCCTATCTCTAGTACCACGCACAAAAAACAGAATAGCTGTTCAGATTTACCCAAGAAAAAGCTAAGCCTAAATAGAAGAGGCAAATGAATAGGTACTGAAACAACAAAAACAGTATTTTTAAATGAAATGTTATGATTCTAGTGCCCTTTGTAGACTCTCACACATAAGTACAAAAATACAGGGACATCTAGTTAGTAAGTATGTTTAAATCTGAATTCTCTTCGTTGTTACAACTTTAAGTGTCTACATTCAAAATAAGAAAGTAGAAACTAATTAACCAGAACAGGTAGCAGTTTGTAACCCAGGACTTGCAAAGAAAAAAAATTCTCCCCTGTTCTTCTTATCTAGGTGCAAAGCAAACGCGCGTCTTCTTAGGTGTGAGAGCTTCTCCGACAGGACAAGGAGCTGCCTTCCTGCCCCAGCTCACAGCCCAGGTCGGTGCGTGGGCTGCGGCTTCTCCCGTGAGTCACGTGACCCATCCCATTCCGACAGCCTCTGCGCTCCACTCCAGGGCACAAAGGAAGCTCCTTGGGGAAATTCTTTTCCTTCCTCCTACTGTTTATAAAATATTGTGTATAGGTCACTAAAATTCAATTAAATGATTGTTCTCTGTGGCAAAAACAGTTTATCATTAGAATATATGTAATTTTTAAATCGGCTATTATTTTTTAGTTAGTATAAATAATAAAGTGATAAGGAGCTATTTTTAGAAATCATATTGTTTTAAAAAGATACATTACCTTGCAAGTCTGGTTAAGGTGCTCTGCATGAACATACATAAAGCCATTCCAACCTTTAAACACAATGATATAATGCAAATGTATTAAATAATAATTATTTTTAAAGTTGAGATTTTAGAAACTGATGAAGACAAAAATGTATCTACCTATTTTTTTTTTTTTTTGGTACCAGGGATCGAACTGGGGTCCTTGAGCTTGCGCAGCAGGCAGCAAAACCACTGAGCTAAATCCCCGGCCCCTGTATCTACCTATTTTTAAGAGAGAGTTTCACTGAAAACTCTTGGCTAGTGTGTGACGTACTGAACTCAGCTGCGCAGGAAGTGGGGGCAGAGGTGCAGGGCTGACAGGCAGATCGCAGGCTGAGAGCTGCGTGGGAGGCTCTCACCTAGAACTCCCACACGGACACACACACGAAAGGAGGAAGGAAGGAGGAGGAAAGGTGCACTCTAATAAGCTTTGAACTTTTGTGCCTCTTTAACTTGGCATCTCTACAAATCAACAGATTTCTTCTTAAAAGTGGTCCAAATGCACTGCCTCCTCTTTTTCAACTCACACTTTCTAAAACCCATGTAATCTGGCCTTCAGCCTCTTCAAAAAGATTTTCCTCAAAATTTTCTAATAATCTCTAATTTTTCAAACTAAATGATTTCTTCTTTTCCCCCATCTTGCTCTCTAATAAGCAGTGCCTTTCTTTGACCAGTTTCTTCATTCTGATCCTCTTAGTTTCTAATAATACTTTAAACTCCTGGTTCTCCTCTTATTCTCTTGATTGTTCTTTTCTAGTTTTCTTCCTCGGCTTCTCTTATTCAGCAAATCCCCCACTGCATGCGCTCTTAACAGCCCGATCCATGGGTCTCCTTCTCTTAGGTATACTTTCTTCCCTGGAAGCGTTATCTACTGCCCCTCTTCAACTGTTGCTTTCCTGTGAAGCGCTAAACCCTACCCCAATTCTCACATTCTGCCAGCACCTCAGACAGCAGGACAAAGCCAAATGGCTGGAGAAGGGCTAAGCCCGAACCACAGTGTTACCACTTATGAGCAACTGAACTAGAGTGTCAACTATGGACATCAGTTCCTCATCCTCAAAGAATGAGGAATAAAAACATCTGTTGCTTTAAATTTAAGGATAGTTAGAAAGATATAAGTACCTACACACAGAGCAGAGTAATGAAGGAGGTCATGGGACAAAGGAGGGCATTATCTTGAAGCTAGATGAAGACTGTGAGGGTCTAACATGCCAGACTTTCTCTGAGGCCTTATGCCCACTCACGGAAAGTAAGCAGGTTTTTATTGCCCTGGATCCTGAATCCTGTAATCGGACTCTGCCGCGTCCCTCTAAAAAGAGACCTCTTACAGCATACAGATCATCTGCGGCATCAAATCCAAGTCTTATAATTGGATTGATAATTACATTTTTAAAAATTTTATTTTCGACCGCCCGAAAGTTTTCAGGGCTAATCGCTGTGTTTTGCTAATCGCTGTGTTTTGCTGATCACTTCCTGGCCCTGCCTTCTCAACCGTGAACAGGTGCAGCTCTTTTCCTGCCCAGGACTAAAGACACCAAGATGAACCCAACTGCTTAGGAAGTTAGTTACAGATAAAAACAGCTGCAGGGCAAGCGAAACAAGTGCAACAGGATGTGGAGCACAGCTGACGCTGTTGTGCACATGAGGGTTTCACTGCATTAGTCTCCATTTTGTTTGTATTTGGTAATTATCCTTGAGCATTTTTAAATCTTTGAAAAATTACAGTGGCAAAAACACTGACACGATTATTCTTTTAAAGTCCATGTAATAATTACTTTCAAGCATTTGTCACAGTGAGAAAGGACTGTGATTCAATTGCTAAAATCATCACATATTCCAGTTACCACGGCATTCTCAAAAAAAGCAACTTCACCCAGTAAGCACATGCCAGCGTCGCACCTGTAACAGCCCATGTGTGGGGCAAGGGTGCCGACCGCGAGGAGAACTGCGGGAGGGTCCGGTTAGGAGCCTCCGGATGTGTGGCTGTGAGGGCCAGCACAGGCAAGGACCGGCCTCGTGACAGCCACGGTGCTCTCCGGAGGGTGCACAGACTCACTGGGAACTGCCAGCTGTGTAAGAATACGAGCTGTACAAAAAATGGCTCTCAGGAACTCCACACACACCATTTCTAGTTTGTGTTAATTTAACAGTCTTGGTACCAGTGTGGTGATGCTATGATTTCATTATTCTTTCGTACTCTCAGATATGATCGTGTCAGACTAAGTGACAGCCCATTAACAAGTATGAATCCCCTTAGTGTTCACGACTTGAAATGGGATATATTCAGAATGAGATTAGGAATGTGTTTAGCCTGAGGACGCCACATTTGGTACTGCCAAGCTCACGGAGGAATGTGTTCCCCTTTCTGTGTCATCTAATCGCAAAGTAAATCCTTCCCTAAAGAAGATGTGGTTTCTATAAAATGCAGTACTACTCAGCCATAAAGAAGGAGAAACTGGAGACATTTATAGCTAAGTGGATGCACATTGAGGCCATACTCTTAAGTGCAATAAACAGGACACACATGTGTCAATACCAAATAGTTTCTCAAGTGTGAGAAGCTGAAAGTGTAAATAAGGATCAAAATGTATAATAGATAATGTGAAATAGGAAGAAAAGGGGCAAAGGGGAAGGGGAAATGGGAGGGGAAGGGGAAAGGAAAGAAGGGAAAGGAAAAATATGAGAAAAGGAATAAATGGAAACAAAGTCTTTATAAATAGGGAAGGGTGGAGAGGGTGAAGGGAGGGCAGGGGAAGGGGAAAAATAAGAACCAAGATATGTCATGTACAGGTACAAGATCCCAATGATGAATGTCATCATATTGTATACCTAAAATGTACTGATAAACTTAATGGGAAAAAAACCAAAAAAACAAAAAAAACACAGTAAATCCTTCTCTCATTAACAGTAAAGTATCAGTGTTGGTTCATCACTTGTGCCAAATGTGACATAGCACCCTAACATATAGCAGTGACATCTGGTGACTAGGTGTGGTGTGTATGGAGCTCTACGCCCCTTGCAAATCTAACATCATTCTAAAATGTAAAAATTTATTTTAAAAAAGAACAGACACAGAAAAGAGACAAAGTGCGGGAAGAGAGAGAGGGAGGGAGGGAGAGGGAGAGAAGGAGGGAGAGTGGGAGAGGGGGGAGGGGGGAGGGGAGGGGGATGGGGAGAGACTCCCCAAAAGCAAGGTCACAGCTGAGGGCACTGCTTGCCCAAAGTCAGTCATCTCAAAGTGCTCACCGCCGTGGTCCCTGAGACAGCCTATTGCAAAAACCTACAGAACCACTTGTTTCCCTTACATCATTCCCTTACCATTCTGCATAATTCCACCGAAACCCAAAGACCAACACCCTCCAATCCTCTGAAGGCTACTAAAGAGCAAGAGTCATGCTCATAACCACACAGGTAAACAGCAACGTGGCAGCCACAGATGTCTACTGACATGTGCAGTCCAAAACAGCATCAAGCACACAACACTCACCTCTCCAGTCGCTAGTGCTTTCACAGCATTCAGATCGGACCCCGAAGAGAAAGTGTTTTTGGCCCCACGGACAATGAGGCCTTTCCCTTCTGTCCAATTTTCCAATTCAATCACTTTTTCCAAAAGTTGTAGCATCATAGTACCTGCCAGGGAAGGAAGGGGAAAATCATAAACTCAGATTTAAGTCTGAGACTGAGAAAACAGAAATAATAGACACCTTAGCCAATCAAGACTCTGAGTTTAAATCTTTCACAAATAGTTACTAATGCTTTTCAAAAAAATGCCTGTTGTGCTGGTCCAACGGAATATACAAAAGAGGTACATGACAGTCCCTGCTTCAAAAGTTTTTGAACTTTTTGTTAGTGTATGTATTTCTCTACCTATCTTAAGAAATCACATAAATTTATGTTTGCAGAAAAATGCAAATGTATCATATATGTCCTGGGGATAAAAAAAAACTGGAATGTACAACAGGGGATACAGTTACAAGGAAAAATTATTTCATAGGGTAAAGAGAAAACAAATTAAACTTTATAGCAAATTATGTTACATCTGTCAGCAAGTTCAATAAGCTTTATGGATTTTATTATGATTATGGGACCTTATGATACACTGGAAATAGGGCATACAGGGCCGGGGTTAGCTCAGTGATTCTGGTGCCTGCCTCACAAGCACAAGGTCCAGAGTTGCATCCCTGGTACCAAAAAAAAAAATTGGGCCTACAGAATAAAGTGAGATTCCTATCCTATTCACACCAAAACCAGAATAACAGCATGTCAGTTCAGGAAAGGGGTGGTAAACACCCTGTTCTACAAGTGTACTAACAAGCCCAAAGATGTATTACAGAAGTGCTTCACTGGATTACCATTAAGTGTGTAATTTATAGATTACATTAGATTGCTACCTCATCACTCCAAATTCTATTTGATCTTCTGCATAAATAGATTCAAAATAGGAACAGCAAAGACTATGTTTTTACATTGCAGTCAGTACATTTTAGTTATGCTTATCTTTGGTGATCTTTCAGGTTCACATAGTTCCACTACTCTCAACATGGTTTATTTTCTGCTGCTTAGGAAATGCTTTAGAAGCCAATATAACGAGTATAAGAGGATTAAAACTGGCAAGGTGAGTCTCTAAAACTTACTATTTATGCCCAATTAAACCATGTATACTTAATTTTGGAATACAGATCCCACAAGGTCAAGAACTTTTCTTTGCCTTTTTAAAATAACAAGTAGTGGTACGGTTCTACAGTCATTGGCTGGCAAATGACTAACTCAGCTAACCTTTCCACTTGCTAATTATGACTTACTTAAAACTGTAACCAAAATGTCTTAAAACTTTTCCAAAAATTTCTTAGATGCTTTAGAAATACAGCTCTTGTTTTCACATGATTTTCAGGTTAGTAGGGGAAACAAAAACCCCAAACATTTAGGGTAAGAATAAATCTCTACAGGGAAATATGCACCTTCAATCATTTATGATAGTTCAGTGTCTAAAAAATAATGGTGGGCTTGAGCATAAAAAAAAAAACTATATTTGTAGTTAATCTTAAACTCATCTTTTGAGTTTGTAAAATAAACCTTAATAATTGGAGGGGACCTTACAGAGAATCTGGCTGTGTACTTTTAAAACAAGGGCTTTGCAACTTACTCCTCCTCCGCACACTCGATCTAACCAAGTATCTTTTCCCAAATTCAAGCAGCGCTGCTGTTACTAGTTTTACACATTAGGCACCAAGTTACTACTTGTTTTCATTTGAATAAATGATTATTTCTACCTTTTCAGCAGTAAGTTAACACTACTGATCTAATTTAACTTTCTAGGACAGTCTTATCTTTCTAAATTTATTTTTCCTAAGATAATAGTAAAATTGGAGTTTATTCCCTACACTAATTGAAGGTGTGGAGCTACCCTGTCTGATAAAGTGGGCACCAATCACACGTAGCTACCAGGTGGGTGACGTGTGACTAGTGAGACTCAGATGTGCAGTGAGTGTAATACCGGATTTCAAGGCTTAGTGTGAAAATAAAAAGCAAAATATCTCATTCGTAATTTTTTACATGAGTCACTCGTTGAAATAATATTTTGGATGTACTGAGTTAAATGAAATGTATTATTAAAATTAATTGTAAATGTTTCTTCTTTTTAAGCGATGGCTACTAGAATATTTAAAATTACATGTGTGGATCACATTTGTATTTTGCACAAGAATTTTATTGCTCAGCAATGACACAGAGAAACATCCTTGAAATCTGATTAAGAGGAGAAAAAATTGTCTTCTATATAAAGACCCACTACTGGCAATTTACAAAGTTAATAGTTTATTGAATTATATCTGCAGGTACCAGTATACTTAAGGTAGACACAAAATTTATTGCAATATTTGAGTCCAGTATTTCAAATGTTACCAAAGAATGTAATTTACCCTCATCATGAAGCACATAACTGGCAAGTAGAAGTTACCAAAATCACCTCAAGTATGTGGGATGAGGGTTGGAGCCACTCATTAAGCTACTCATTAGCTCTTGTATTAACAAGGTGGCATGATTCAAATTTGAGCTTCAGCAAAAGTTATAAATTACCACATGCCCTGGCTCTCCAGCTTCCTTAAGTATGCAATTCTTACATGCTAAGAGATCTGACTAGCAAATCCAAAGTATTCACCAGTAGCTAAGAGCCAGAAAAGAGTCACCAGCTAAGTGAGTGCCATGGTTCCATCAGGGGAGTAAGTTCTAGTTTCTACAGCTTGTATTTGACTGTAGTTTACAATAATCACATCTCTAAAAGTACAGAGAAGACAGAAGTATGAAGGTTCTCAACCCAAGGAAATGCTAACGTCTCCTGATGTGATCACTATACATTATACACACGTATCAAAGTATCACGCCATAAATATATAATTACTTATGCCAATTAAAAACTTAAAGAGAAAGAGAGCCTTTTCTTTTACTAAAATAAAGTTTAGGGGCAAAAGGAGGACAACTAACTGTGAAAGTCTTGTGTCAATTCATAGAAAATATTTTACATAATTTTTTATGTACAGGTTTTTCTCTTTAGTTTCAGCAAAATCACTGAAACCTCCTTTTGTTTCCCAAAGGCATTAAAAACAAAGTTTTTATATGCAGTTAATAAATGTCAATGGAAACACAGTTAACACTGATTTAACTATATCTTCTTTATCAATCCAAATTCATGAATGTTTTGAAAACATTAAAATATTACTAATTAGTAAAAATGTTTCTGGTTCATATTACAGAGTGTTGTGTATGAATCCTATGAACAAGACTCGCAGGAATTCTGTCACCAGGGCAAGGACTAAGACCACGTGACAGCAGGTGAGATTTAGTGTCATTCTTTAGCTAGGAAAAGAATGATCTCTCCTACCTGAGAAGGCATTCATCTTACTGGGATTGTTCAGAGTGAGGATGCCAATGCCAGTGTTATCCTTCTGGAGGTCAACGGACCCACCAGGAAACTGCTGGAGGGTTTTCTTCACTTCTTCCTCCTGGAAGCCATGAGTGGTGTTATACAGGGACACGCCCTGTATGTGGAGCAGTTTTGTCCTTGCAGACAGAGAGGATGTTTTCAAAAGACTGTTTGCCATTTCTGGGAAAGAGAAGTATACAGTTGTTCAGGTTAACAGACCTTTATTTCTCTAGCATTATGTGCTGGCAGGCTGTACTAACTGTGGCAGGCGCTCACAGCCCCCACTGCTCAGGACTCAGGACACTAAGGCAAGAAGAACACTGGAGTTTGGGACCAGCCTGGGCAAAAGGAAGAAATAAAAATGAAATAAAACTATTCTTTCAGAATACGATCAGTATGGAGTTCCTTTTCTTGTACCCTCCTCCTTTATCAAAATAATTCACAAAGGATATCATTTCAGGACTTTATGAAGAGTGATGACAAAATCATGGTGCATTTATGGGGACCCAATACACCAGGGAGGTTTACAAAAGCACAGCTGCTGATCTGTCCTTCGCACCGGGGAAGAAGACAGGCAGTCTGCCTCTAGGAAGTCTTCCTCACCACAGTACTTCATCCACCAACTCTTCACTTCTTCAAAGTCTAACGATTCAGTCCAAGTGTTCCCTTTGTGACAGACTCTAGGCAGTATGCGACAAGAACAATCTGTCAGATTTTAGGCTTGGCATTATCCTTGCCTTCTGCAATACTGACACAGAAAAGGCTGGAAAGAGTCTAGCAAAAATGGGGAGAGAGAAATGTTTGTGGTTTCCATGCTCTCCAAAGTTCTGTCTCTTTCCTTACTTTACATGACAACCTGAATAATCTCTTTTCTGCCCATAAGCTTTTCTGCTCTATGTGAACATTTTTGTTGATACAAAAGACACATTCAGAAAAGCACATAAAGCATAAGTTGCTGTTCAATGAATTCTGACATGGTGAAAACATTTTAGTAAATCACATCCAAACTAAGAGAGAATATAACCTGAATTTCAAGAGATCCCTTGGGCCACTTTTGGTCCCTCAAATAAGGTAATCCCTCAAATAAGGTAAATGATCACTTGGCTTCTAACACTCAAGATTAGTTCACCTGTTCTGGAAATGTACATGAACTTAGCAACATACTCTTTTATGTCTGGTTTCGACTCTAGGGGTTTTTTTTTTCACATGCATTATTGTCACCACATGGAAGAAGAGTCTGAATAGTCCATTATTCTCATTCCTGAATTCATTTACATGAATACACAACAACTTATTTATTTTAATGACATTTGAGTTGCTTCCAATTTTTAGCCTTACAAATAGAGTTGCTATAAATCCTTTGGGCATGTGTTTTTTGGGCAATATGTATGCATATTGATTGATATATATCTAGGAATAGAGCAGTTGGTTAGGTGTGCTGCAGTCCAGCATGCACTAATTGTTAAAACCTTGAAGAATTTTGCAAATTGGTTTTTTAAATCAGTGGTAGCTTCAAACTGATCAGTGTGAAAAATCTCATTCTCTCTCTCACACACACACACACACACACACACACACACACACACACAACCACACAGAGAGCTAACTGACCGATAACACTCTCAGTGATAGGAGATACTGCTAGAGTTTTCCAAACAGTCTTACCAATGTGTATTCCCATAGTGAATGTTACAATTGCTTTACAACCTTTCACTCACTATTAAATTTTTATTTCCCTTTAAACATTCTACTGGAAGGTAGCATTTTGGCTTCATTTTGTATTTTTATGATGTATAGTGAAGGTAACTCCCACTTTCAGATGTGCATTGGTCATTTGCATATAATTCTTTTTTAAAATATCTGTTAGAACATTTTGCCTATTCTTTCAATTTCCCTTTTTATTACTGACTTGTTGGAGATCTTTCACTCTTCTGCCTACAGTTTTCCTAAGGTCACAAATCTCACATTTTTATCCCCAATTCAGAATGTATGTCTGGATATCCTTATAATCTAATCAGGATATTACAAATTTTAAAGTTTTTCGGCAGCTCTCTACTACACAAAGGATCAAGTCTAAAGCTCTCTTTGATTTGGCTGATTCTTTAAATCTTGACTCTCTTCTCTCATGACATTTCTACACAATGTACACAAGGCTCCAAAATAACCAGAGTTCCACAAATTTACCATGTTATTTTGTATTATTTCATCCTTCCTAGAATGTCCTTTCCTCCTTCACTGACCTGGAAAACCCCTAATCATGTTTAAAAGCTGAATTCCTAAGTTTCCATCTAAAATTGATTCTCACCCTAGAAATATCCTAGCCTTTATTTATCCTAGCCCACTATATTACTGTGCCCCCTTTTAACACATTCCAAATATGTTTGATTTTATTGTTCATTTTTTTTCTCAGTAGAAGGATATTTCCTGAGAGTTCTCTGAGAGTCCCATGTGACACTAGGGCCTAGTACAATACTCGACACATAAAGGTATTACCAACAGGTTAGTGGAGGAAAAGATGGAGAAGGTATAGCCAAGTAGAAAGACAGAACTTGTTTTAAAGCTGTGAAAAATAAAACGGCATCAGAAAGAAGGTCACAATACAGTATCATCTCTTTCTCTCTAAAACTGCTTTCCCTTCAAGTGACATTTTTGGCAGTGTCTCAGCACAACACTTCATCCTGTTTAAGTAACTAAGAACACACAGTAATATACAATCTCCCAAACAGATAGGTGATTTCTAAATATAGTATCGAAGAGACCAAACTATTTCTTAATAAAATATAACCTGTATTATACAGTGACCTAATAGTCTACTGTAATATATGTTAGAGGGCTTAACAAAAAAAAAATCACAATTTTCTTAGGGAACAATATCCAAGAATAAGCTCAGTGGTAGAACACTTGCTTGGTGTTACCTTACCACAAAAATGTGCTCTAACTTGCCACCCTGTCTTATGATGGATCCATAGCCAAGAGTGAGGACTTGGTATTACTTTTCCAAGAAAAAGAATGTGCTCTAACTTGCCATCGTGAGTCCCGTGATGGAACCTGCTTTCAACTGCCACAATTTTATTCTTTCCTGTAATGGTCCAATCCTTACATATTCACTCTACTCTCCCTCCCTGCAAAAAAGTCTGTCTTTGGCTATGGGTATGGAGTAAAGAATACTGAAAGCGCCACATGACCCACTCAGAATTCTGTTTGTTAAACAGAACTATTAAGCAATCAAGGAAAGTAGTCAAATACTAAAAGCTCTAAAATAAACTATCTAAATATTTAAAGTTATTTTGAGTATCTTAACCTTTGCCAATTCTAGACTCATTTTCCAAAACCCACAGAATATTCTCTCTTGTATAAATCCTCCTATCCCAACAGCAGCCCTAGCTTCAAAATTTGAAAAATGTTAGACGTAAGGTATGTATTGATTCTATTGGTCTTAGCTGCTTTTAAAGTACCTAGGGCCTCTTGAAGGCCCAGAAAGCTACAAGGAATGACCATCAAATATGGCCTATTAGACAATGTTACTATAACACTGTACAATGTTACCACTACTTAATAATAAATTATTAGCTAAGCAGATGACTCACTTTACATGATTTTTGTGCAAATATTTTTTTCACTCATTGGCTATTTTACCCCATATTTACTTTATCCCTTTATCTGGGATAGTTCCATTCCCCAAAGTACAGCCTGGTTCAAAGACCTATTTTCCTGCTTTTTGAGGGGGGACTAAAAGGTCTGACTATGGAAAGGGGGCACTTCAGAAACTATGGTCAAGATTCATGGAACATCAATAGAAAATACAATAATCTAATCAAATAAACTATGTCCTGAGCAACCACAAGTCCTTTTTGTTTAGAGCTTTGTTGTACTCAAGCACATACAACTGTGCTGTTAAATACTTCAGATAATTTTAAGATACTTCAATTTATTGCTAGATACTGTATTGTAACAAGGTCTCTTAATTCACACTATTTAAAGTCTAAATCTATACAGCCAATCTAACAGAAAATGAGCACATTTAAAATAAGGGTCCTCTCAGGATTTGAGCAGGACTCAAAAAATGAAGATGAGGAAAAATAAAATGATAAAGGCAGAAAGCTCAAGTCTATGAGAAATGTAATTACTAATAAGCAGTACAAAGTCTTTATGAAAAAATGAAACAAAAGGATTTGGGAGGCTTCCCCAGTAATCATCCAAATGTAAATACTAAGTTGTCCCAAGATCTTTTACTTTCGGTTTCTCTGTGGAAGAAACCAAAATTAAAAATTTCAGAAGTTATTCAGAAATGACAAGCAATGGGGACTTGCAACAAATTAGCTAACCAGACCTATATTCTCACGATAGGATATACTTATTCCGAAGTTTGTTTATAATCTCCATTCATGTTCCCATCTCTCTCATCCCCATCCATTATTGTTTTCTTTTTCACTTCCATTTTTATTCTACCTAGGCCCAGTTCCACAGTCAAGGTCTACAGGAAAAATAGGGAAATACACCAAATCACATCATTCAAAGTAAGTTCTGAAGCTTTCTTTGGTTTTTTAAAGGTAAATTTTGAAGATATATATATAATAACTAGATTAGCATTAAAATATTTTAAAAATGGACAGTATTCTTTCTTAGATTATTCAAAGTAGGTAACAGCTTTGTTTAGCTAAATTTTAAAAAATAAAGAGTTGATTAACTGCTTAGCATATGGGCCAGAAAGGAAACTACACTTCTGTATAGGTTTTTATGGCTAAGAAATTCATATAATGAGATTTAAGAGTATAGACATATGTACTTGCTAAGAGATTATTTTATAGCAATTCAATGAGCTGAATTCCTTTCTGTGGAGAGAAATATATCATCTTTACACTCAACAAAAGTCTTCAGTTTCAGGGAAACAAAATATGTATACATAAAACAAAATAATTCAAATACAGTTGGCCCTCCATGTCCTCTGGTTCTGCAGTCATTGATTCAACTAATCTCAGATGGAAAAAAAATTGTACCTGGACTGAACATGTACTTTTTTTCATGTCATTATTTCCTAACAATACAGTTTAAGAACTATTTAGATAATATTTACACTATATTAGGTATTGTAAGTAATCTAGAGGTGAATTAAAGTACATGGGGGCTGAGCATAGGTTATATGCAAATACTGTACCATTTTACATAAGGGATTAGGTATCTATAAGGGTTTTAGAATCAATCTGAGGAACAGCTATCTAATTGAAAATAGTTTCTCTTTTTGTTAAGCTCCTTTAGAGACTTGCATTAAAAGGATCTTTTTTTTCTACCAGTAAAATTTTTATCATGTAGTCTGATATTCTATAGGTATGAACTGAAATATTAGTAACTTCATAGGATTATACTTTATTTCCCTTGATTCTTTCTAATTTTTGGAGTTCTAACAATACTAAAAAAAAGAAATCAAGCAACACACCAGCTCTCCTGGGTCTACAGAGGAGTAACTAAAAGAAAATAAAAATAAATTCAGATCACCTTCTAAAATTTTTTTTAGTTATTTCCATGTGGACAAGCTAGTAGTAGAGGGAGACCTTAAGATACTCTAGTTTTGCATGTTTTCAGAATATCATTTCTTTAAAAGATCATGTTAGAGGTAATCTATTACAGCATGCAAATTACATAGTCCTAAAGCCGACCCCAAAACAAATTTAGAAAATAAACAGAAATAAGGCTGCATGATGATTTGAATATTTTTGTACCCTCTAAAACTCACTGAAAGTTACTTCCAATTCAATAGTATTGGAAAGTGTGGCTTTGGGAGATGACCAAGTCTTGTCGGCTCCGCATTCATGCCTATGGTTAGGCGTTCTTACAAAGCAACTTGATGGAGTTTGTCCCTCCTGCCCTTCTGTCCTCTACCATGTGACAAACACAGCACTCCTTTCCCATGAAGCACAAGCATTGGAGGCACCATTTTGGAAGCACAGGACAGCCCTCAGAAGATGCTGGCATCTTAATCTTGGACTTCCCAGCCTCCAGAACTGAGAAGCAAGTTCTGCACTTTTTGTTTCTAAGACTAAGGCCTCACTATTTTGCCCTGAACTCCTAGACTCAAATGATCTTCCAGCCTCAGCCTCCTAAGTGCCTGAGACTACAGCCACTGTAACCATGCCTAGCAACTTCTGCTCTTTATAAATTACCCAATCTTGCTATTTTGTTGCAGCACCACAAGATGGACTAAGTCAGGCCCTTAATTAAAATTTTTTAAATTAAATATGTCTAAAACTAAATGATACAGAATATGGTTATCACTGTATAGGTATTATAGTATCTATCATTTCCTAAAGATGAGATTTACATTTACAACATCGAAAAAAATTATTTCACTGTTGGCTTTTTAAGAAATGCAAGTCCAGGAAGTAAAATTGTAAGATGGCCAAAGAAAGTTGTCTTTATAACTAGGCCTCTGTCAGCCTACCACAGGGCCACCCCAGTCCACTGGTCTGAGGTTCCTGGATCTCTGCTTCCTTTCAGAAAGGACAAGGATCCCTTGCCCAGTTTTATTAATGCTTATACATATAATAATGCGTACAGCATGGCCTCTGTTCTCACTCTTTCTCTCTCCCCTCCTCTCCCACTCCAGTTTTCCACTCTTCAGGGCTCCTTTTAGTCTCGGGAAAAATCCACTCTCAAGATTACTTACCAGATCAGTTCACAAAGCTGGCAGGCCTACATGTTCAGTGCCAAACAGTCTCCCAGCGGTTTTTTTTAATGTGGGTGCTGTGCGCAGTGCATGTTCTCCTTAGGGGCTGATCGAATGTGAAGAGACAATCGAGTGGAGAAAAGTAATCGGGGGCAGAGCCTCTGCTCTTCTCCACACGGGTCATGATTTCAAACAAAACTGGTACAGAGACTTGATAAAGACTTAGATGGCTACTGAGAAAAATAAATTTGCCTGTTTGTCGTAATGCTGTGTTTAGGAAAAAGAACAAGGAATTGAGCTAGAAAATAAGGAGTAGCGCCTTATACAATTAACATTTTTAATTATCATTGTGAATAACAAAGAAACAACTTATCTTTTGCTCTCATTTGTACGGGGTCTGTGGGTACTGCAGCAATCAGTATGAATGCCACTAGGTCTCCATCTCCTTCCTTATCCTTACCTCACTAAACACTTACTTACATGTCTACCTAACACTAATCCTTTGCCTCATTAGGCCTCTTGTAAAGTTTTATCAGTACATGTCTGCAGTACACGAGGCTTCCATTCACCTTAGGGAGGAGGTACATGTGCTTAACATATCTTCTTTTCATTCCCCTCCCCTCCTCATCCACCTCCCTCCATCCTTCTCGATTCCCTTTCCCCGTTTTCATTATTACTGTTATTTTTTTGTTCATGTTTACAAGATATAATGATTACATTCACTGTGGTTATTTGGTACATGACACCTCTTAAATCCTCGGTCTCTTGAACCCCTTCCCATATGCGAGATTACGTCCCTAATTCCTTTCATCAAACTTTTATTTTGCTCTTTATTTGTACTTTTCACTACTCAAATGACAGAAAACATATGGTAGTTAAGCTAATGTGTCCAATTTATTTCACTTAATGTTTTGTTTTCAAAGTATATCTATTTTCCTACAAACATCTCTAATTTATCCTTTATAATCTTTTGATCTATCTTTGACCTATCATTCAAATGTGGATTTCTCTAAGGAAAGCTTATTACTTCATGTACTCTTTTCTATTAATTACACATTTTTCTACCTTTCTCCCCTCATTTTTACTCCTTCCACTACCCGCCCCCCTTTCTCTCCTCTCAGGTTTTCTTGTCTGTACCAGGTTAGTACTAGAAAAACTCAAGCACACTGCTTAGGCCTGCTAGACTTGCTGGCTGCAAGAAGTCCAATTCTAAAAACTTAACTTGACAACAGCCTACTAGGTACATACTCATCCCAATTCTCAGTTCAGAGACTAAATTACACAAGAATTGAGTGCTGAAGAGATAGGTTAGCCATTGTAGTAGGTGTAGTGGTACCTGAAAATTCAAGTAAGCAAAGCCTAAGATTCAGGATTTGTATGAGCAACTGGATAACCAAATGTATGTCAGTTATTCCCAGAATTACAATACAATAAAAAGTTCTGAGGCATTTAAAATTTTATAACTTTCTTCAGGGCAAAAATGTTTAAATCTGTCATGCAGGCTGCCTTGCTGTCCCAATACAAAAGAGTTTTGCCCCGCTGAGCAAGCTCTCTGCCAAGCTACTGGAAAGGGGGAAGAAAGGAGACTGTCTGGAGATCTGAGACCAAAGGTCTCACTCTCCGATTTGTTTGTTTTCATTTTCTACCGAGGTAATAAAATAACAGCTTCCCTCAGTGATCAGAGAATAAGCTAACTGATACACTGAAAGTCCTCACCTGTTTATCCATTATTTTGGAATCATTAAATTCAGAATCCGTACTTAATAAGAAACAATTAGGCTACAGCAGACAGTAAACACGGAAAAAAAATCAAAAGTATGTGACTTCAGACTGTCACTATTCAAGCTTCGATTTGATTTCTGGCTGTCATCTCATAACCTTTCAAGTTGTTACACACCACCTGCACACTATTCCCACACCCAGCCCCAAATGAACAACTTTCAGTTCTTCAAATCCTTCAGATTTCTCACTATTCCAAGTCTTAGTATATGCAGTCTTTCTACTTCTTTCACTTTGTTCTTCCTCGGAGTAATTCCAGGTCGTTTTCTCTAACTCCGTGTGCACTCACATTCATATCCCTTACAACCTGCACTCACTGCTCGAATTACTTCTTTAACCAACTTGTCCCACTAACTTTAGCTGCAAGACGTCATTTGAAGCACCTAGAACAGTGTCTACAAATTGCCAATGATTTTCTTAAAGACTAAATCCCACACGACTTAAGAATCTGGCTACAAATCAACTCCCCATTTACCCTACTGGTCTCACCACTCACCCAGTCCAACTCCGGGAGCTCTCCACAAGATGAATTCCCTCACTGAAATGCTGACCCCTGTGCTCCAGCTGATCACTAGACACTCATTTGTCTCACCAGTGTCCAGATCAGATGTTTTATTTCCATGTTCCTCCTCCCGATTTCACAATTACACTTCTTCCCCCACACATCTCTACCAGGAGCGCCAGGCCTTCACAGAAGGGGTCTTTTGTTATTCTTGCCCTTGCCCGTTTTTTCTCTATTCCTGCAGCACCTACAGCAACAGGTGCTGTACCCCGGGTTCTGAGATGCGGAAGTTAGGGAGGAAAGGAGTTGCTTAGGAGGTCTTAGTCTTTATCAGCCTTTTCAAGTTGTGCTCTTAACAATCTCCTCTATCCTCGAATATGTGCGTAATCTTAAAAGGATTGCAGCACAGAAAAAAAAATCCAGAAAAGGGAAAGGAAAAAAATACGAGAAAAGGAAAATAATGGAAACCAAGTCTATGTAAAGAGGGAGGGGTTGGTGGGGTGGAAGGCAAGGGAAATGGGGAAAAAATAAGAACCAAGATGTATCATGTGAAGGTACAAGTTCCCAGTGGTTAATGTCATCATATTGTATACCCAAAATATACCAACAAACTTAATCAAAAAAAGAAAGAATCCATACCAAGACTGTGTTGCTCATTGTTTTAAAGTAGTCTGCATTACACAAATAACACAAATGTTTTAATTAAGCAAGAGAATACACCGGCAGCGAATTCTACAGGTCCCGGGGAGCATTACCTAAGTTAGCACCGTGGGTCCACTGGGCTCCGAGATTAAAGGAGAGCGTTGGAGACACGATTCTCCACGTTGGGCCCCACGGCCCCGCTGCCCGGGGCCAGCGTCCTTCGCCCAGCAGAGGGTAGTGCGCCTGCGCGGGAGCTTTGCAGGGAGCCGCGACTCTGCCTTTTGGAATTAGCTCGGAAAGACGCTAGCAACCACCCCACAGCGACATTCCAGGATCTCGTTCCTAAGAACCAACTATATCCCACAGTCAGCCCCCGAGAGCGCCGAGCTCTAGACCTAGGACTTATTTTCCTAGGACTTATAAGACCCTAGGACTTATTTCCGCTTTTCGTAGACCCTCTTCCGGTCCCCTGCACCCACTTCCGCTTTCCGAGGCCAAGGCAGCCGCTGCTTGGCCCCGCCCCCTCAGTGCCCTTGTGCTAGCGCGTGCGCCCTCGACTCACCCACGTCCTCCGGCGTCTGGAAGCTCCGCCCCCTACACTGACGCCCCTTTCTGGCGCTGCTGCTCCACACGCGCCCTCTTGTGGCTGCTCAGTGCTCCCAGCTCGCAGGTTCTGCTCTGCTTGCTTCTAGTATTCCCTCTGCCCTCCGGGGTTTCCACTCAGCACGAGAAGCTGCTGAGTCCCTCTAAAGGCTCTGAAGGCAGTTAAAAAGGGAGGTGGTTTGCGTCAGGATTGGAATCTTCTGGACAAGGGAACTGAGATGAGGCTTTTAGGGAGTTGCCGTCAGCCGTGAATACATCCGGACGTGAGGTGAGGCGGTGCAAACATTTTATCCAGTAACTCCCGACAGTAGGGGAAAGAGCTCAGTTTATTCTGATTCCTGCAGAGGTAACTTGTTTCTTAAAAGGAGAGGGGTGGAAGGAGAAATGTAGGTACTCAGTCCTCTGAGAAGTAAAGAAGTGGGACGGGTTGGTCAGTGTAAATGTGATGAGGCCGACAGCGTTCGTTCTGCTTCAGAATCTGGAAGACAGACCTGGGTCTTCTTGATTGCAATTCAGAAGTATGACTCCCAGGTCCTTGAAGTTCTGAGTTGCAAGAGACACATAAACGCATCCTAATAACTGGTCTAAGGGAGTTTAGGAACCTTTCAGCAGTTGGTTAACGCAATGAGTTGAGCCTGGCCAGGCAGCCGTTCCCAGGGTGGTGGGGTCGTGCGAGGCACGTGGCCTCATCCTGATGGAAGCGTGCTGGAGCTGGGTCAGGGCAGAGTGCAGGGATTTGGATGGAGTCATCTCGTCCCCAGGAGTCTGCAGTTGTCACAGATAAGGTTTGAATAAGTACATTACAGGCATTCTTCCTTTAACAGCCGAATTCCAGACCTCCAAGCCACCTGAGGAACTGTTGGAAGCAAATAATCCTTAGAAGTGCAAAAAAAGAATGCCCTGGTAAATTTTTCTGGCCCTTTGGCAACAGGTCTCTTAAGACCTGTACTGTACAGTACCATCAGCAGAAGCTTCTGTATAAAAGTGTATTGTACAAAAAAGACATTTAGACCTTATAAACAAGATGTACAGAACGGTACAAAAAAAACGATGAGTCGTAAGTCTGAACAGTGCGCCTGGGTTTTAAGTCCAAACAGTCATTATACAGGTAGCTTGTTAGACAACGAACAACTATTTACAGTGAGAGGAATAGAATTTGGCAGAGCACTCCATATGACACAGACGAAGTGGACGCCTAGTTTCTTAGGAGTGGTAGAAGTCTTTATCATAAGTGTTTAATTCCAGTTTCTTATGGAAATATTTGAATTCATTATACTTGCACAGGAAATTCATTTGATTATATAGTCATCTGGGAGAATTAATCTGTTAATTTTCAGTGTGATGGGGGTGACCAGATGTATTGTTTGCATCTTAAGTTTGTTTACTGTTATGGTTTAACTCTTTAAAATGTCCCCCAAAGTCACATAACTTCAGAGGTGGGCCTTTCTGAAGGTGATTGGATCCTTAGGGTACTGACTCATCCATAGGTTAACACACGAATGAGTTCATAGCCGGTTGGGCTATTAGGAGGTGGAGTCTAGGTGGAAGAGCTGGGTCCCTGGGGTCATTCCTTAAGAATACAGACATTCCTCATTTAAGGACCCCCTGTTTAATGACTGTTCAGACTTAGGACCCATCCTTTTTTGTACAGTTCTTTACGTCTTGTGTATAGAGCCTAAGTGTCTTTTTGGTACAGTATACCTTATTTATACAGTACTTGTTTATACAGTAACTTTTGCTAATTGATTGTACTGTAGAATACAGGACTCTAGTTTTATGATCTGTTATACATTACAGTACTGCATGTAAGAGTTAGGCAAATAAAAGCAAAGTCATCAGGCTGGAGTTTCCTTTGACCGATTCTTTGTTCTGAATATTGTAATGTACATGGTGCATACAATTCCTTTAGTGATCAACATTTAATGACCTAGTTGTGAGACCAAAACTCAGTCATTCAACGAGGATTACCTGTATCTCTTCTGGCTCTTCCTGCTCTCTCTGCTTCCAGGCCGCCATGACATGAGCAGCATTCCTTCACCATACCTGTAAGCTGTGAAGTTTATGCCTTGGACACAACCAACCTGAGGATGAAAACTCTGAAACCATGAGCCTCAAGCCTTTCATTCTTTATGTTGTCTATGCCAAGTATTTTGTTGCAACAACAGAAAGGTGACTAATGTATGCAACATTATATTGTACTGCAGCCTTCCAAACTTGGCAGCTGTGGCTAGTAGAAACAGCCTTTGTAACCTTTGTTCTTTTGTGTGTGTGTAGCTCCCTAATACTCTCTCTTTAAAAGAAATACAAAACAAAGTATGGGTATGATAACATTTCATCTCTTGTCTTTTTCCAAGTATTTTATTAATTGCCTGTTATCAACTAGTTTACCAATGAGGTGGGACAAAACCATGACCAACCAATAAGATTACAAGTACAGTCACCCAGGTAGTATTGATTAATTGGGGATCCAAGTACAGTCACCCAGTTAATGTTGGTTAAATGGAGATCCAATGGGAAGACAAGTGACATACAAGGAATTTCCCATTTAGAGTATCAATCACTGCTATCTATCTCCAGGGGAAGTAGTACCTCTTTCCCTTTTATAATGCTAACCAATGAATGTGCCTCAATTGTTCACCCTGTTGGCTCCTTCCTGTGTTGGCTTCTTGAGAGCAGCCCTGTCTAACTGCCTACAAGATATCTAATTAACTTACCCATCTACAATACCATGATCCAATCACTCCCTAAAAGCCCCACCTATGAGCCCATGAGGATTTGAGGGGACACTTAGATATAAACCAACCATAACAATAAAAAAGGGAGGTTTTGGGGCGTACACCAGATGTCCTGGGAGCGTTAGTCAGTTTTGCTTTGCTGTAGCAATGCACTGGAGAGAGTCAATGTATAAGGAGAACAGATTTATCTCGGCTGTGGTTTCAGAGGTTTTAATCCCTAATTGCTTGGCTGGAATATTTTGCTTGGGTAGCAGAATATGACAGTATGAGCACGTGGTGGGAGGCTGCTCACCTATGGCAGCCAAAAGCAGAGATGAAGGATTCTTGGTCCCAGGAACCCCTTCGGGAAATGCTCGAAATGACCTGCTCTCAGCCACTGGGCCCCAGCACCTGGAGTGTCCACCTCCTCCAAAGAGCACCAAAAACTAGAGGCCACGGCTGTAGCTCATTGGCCTTTGGGGAACATTTAAGATCCAAATTATAATACTAGGCTTCATTAACAAACTAGAGAGAAATTTCCCTGGGCAGAAAGGAAAAGTAGAATGTCTTAGCGTGAGGTCTTAGAGACACTGAGAAAGAGTCACAGGTTGACTATGAACGTATCACATTGGCAACCAGACAATGTGCACTAAATTTCCCACACCCTAAGTGAAGCGTAGACTCATCAAGTCATTATGAGGGGCAGAGGCCATGCAATCTGGGGCCGTATGAATCAAGAAGTTACCTTATTTACCTTTGCACAATTGTGTAAAACTGTCAAGACTATTGCAGCCACACTAGGACAAAGAGGAGCGGCCCTTAACATGTGAAACTGAAACTTCCCCTGTGCATCCAGAACCAAGAGAATAGGGACTGAATTGAACCAAAGAAAAATAAAGGAAAGTCCATGTCTCCTCGGATTTGGGGCTTGAGGTCGAACCATTTTAAGTATGCTCCCTTGTGTTTCCTTTGTGTCTACACTTTTCCTGAACTGTGGTTTCTTTTCTGAGGGTCTCACTCATTGCCATACACAGCATCATACTGTGTAAGCTTGCAAATTTCCAGCCCCACCTCCAGATACCTTATAGTAAGAAGACAATGAATAGCACTACGCTTCAAGTATCTCTTTATTCTCAACAAAGGATGTGTATACTTGCTTACATACTTGATCTCTTGTGATAGGATCTTACTAATAAGTGGTTCTGCCGTTTGCCTCACAAGTGCAAGGTTCCAAGTTTGATCCCCGGTACCAAAAAAATAAATAAAACACACCAGAGAAGGAGTTTCTCTTTAAAAAAAAATTTGATCTTCATGTATGCTATTTTCTAATCTGCAATGAGCTTTTAAGGGTTTTCCTTCTGAAGTGCATAGTACCATTTAACTTTTTAAACACATTAGGAGAAGGAAGAAGAGAAAAGGAAACCATCTGGATATACAGTTTTCTCCAGTATTCTGTTGCAAATTGTATGAAGGCATTGCCCAACCATTTGGGGTTGTGTCCATCAGTGCTGAAGTAGCTTTCCCCAGCTGTGGTCATATCAGGTCAAGCCCAACTTCCAGAGCCAGTGTCATGAAACAATTCTTGCCAAATTGAGCAATATCAGAGATTTAGAAAGACTGGCTCTTAAGCTAAATATATTTAGAGTCCATTGTCAAGTCTAATCTCATCTATTCTGTAGGTAAAAGTTCTAATAAAAACTTTAGAACTTTGACGAACAATAAGCTTTCAAGCACATCTAGTACAAACTAAGATCAAAGCAGCTGGGCATGGTGTTGCGTGCCTGTAATCCTAACATTCTGAGTCAGGAGAATCTCTGTAGATTCAAAGCCTGCCTGGACTCCATAATGAGTTTAGGACCAGGGTGGACTACACAGCGAGACCCTGTCTAAAAACAAAATTAAAAACCAAAACAAACAAAGCGAAGGGCAAAGCAAAACAGTCTGTATAGGAGATTTGAACTAAGAAAATAGTGGCCAAATTAAAGAAAGCCAATTTGTTGTGAAACAAAGTTAATTGTCTCCTTTTTCTTAAGCCAATGTGAACTATCTTTTATAAAAAAGTATATCATTTACTTATGCCAATACCAAAAATTACAGTTTAGTAACAAGTTTGGAATTTTTTTTCGAGGTACACATAACAGAACTGCAAAAATTTTGAATAAGTTGTATAAGAATTAATGTCTATGTTACCAACTAAGAAAAAAATTTTGTAGTAAAGACTGAGACTTATTTACTAACAGTAGCATGGCTTCTGCTGGTTAAATGATCATAAACAATGCACAAAATATCAATTTAATAAAACAATTTACTTTTACAACAATAATCATGACTGACTACATTATACCAGAACAATTACCTTTTGAAAAAATAAGACAAATCATATATAATGTGGCTTATTTAACCAGATTATGCAACAAAACTTTAAACAGATGCTGAAGTAAACTCTAACTTACTACTACTACTTAATTTTTAAATAATTAAAACCCAACAAAAGAGAGTAGAGAAAGAAGAAATTTCATGAGAAAAGTAAAATCTCTCTTAAGTTACTTCCCTTGTAAATTTTACCACAAACAGATCATTATTTAAGAAGTACTGTGATTTTAAACATGATGAGTTTAACATTATCCCTGTGTTTTACATTTTGAATCTTTTCTTCAAGCTATTTTTTTTTTACAATAGATTGCCTCTAGTTAGAAATGTTTTACTCAAAGTAGTATTGTGAGGGTATATGTTCAACTTACAACAGAACACGTAGCTCTTTACAAAATGATACCACCTTCTCACGGGCTGGGTCTGAGGGTCCTGAAGACTGGAAATAAGGAAGCTACCCCACCCTTGTAGAATGAGTTTATGCGTAGATTTGCCGACTCCATGAGAAGCATTTCTAAGCGATTTTAGGATGCACTCAAGAGTGAAGTGTGGGCACTCAGAGAAGTGAGACGCGCTGAGCCAGAGTTGGGTATTTTAAGGGGATGTCTCCAAGATAGGGGACCTAGGATGTGTATTCGTACCGTCTATTAGGTTACCACGCAAGCCATCTCCGTGTGTTTGGAGTTGAGATCACTGCCACCAATCATGCTGCTTCCTTAAGGGTGGGAGAAGTCCAATCTGCAGGTGAAAAGGACAGATCCAGAGTCCAGATTTATAAGCTTATTGTCTTTAAGACCTTTAGATTTTTTTTGCTTTTAGTTAAGTTTCCTGGAAGAAAAAAAGGCTTGAGTAACATTTGTGTCTTGAAGCTGCAGTTAAGTATACTTTTAAAAATCTCAATTTCCTTGTCTTTTTTTTTAACCTAGTTTTTCTTTTTCCTACCTCAACCCCCACCCAGTCCTTTATTCTTAAGGGGGTGCAGAACACCTTCCACTCCAACTTCATATAACTGCTTTAGGCTGAGGAGGGGGTCATTCCTGTCTTGCCAGGGACCCACAGTCTCATCCTGACTGGTCTCATCTAAAGGATACATAGGAATATTACACTCTGTCTTTTGAAGACCCATCACTTTTCAGTAGTCTGAAGAAGAGGGCAAGGGCATGTGAGACATTAGCCCTCAACAACAGTGGATCGTGCAACATAAAACATTACAATGCAGTATCATAGCTAGAGAAATGCGCAATTTCCCCCCTCTTGATTACTTTAAAGAATCAGCAAACTAAGCAGCCACTGACCTTTATGGCAGAGTCTGACATTGCACCAGTCTGTGAATGTAGGTCTTGTAATGCAGAGGAGACAGTTGCAGAGTTGTCAGGAATGGACACACACCATTCTGGGCACAGTTTCCAGCCTGTGCTGCTGTTAGGCTATTTAAGGCCATTTAATTTTGTAGAATGGCTGTTCTCATCATTTTTACTTTTGTATTTAATAATGAAACACCTTCCATAAGTGTTATTTAGGACTTCTTGTGTATGGTTAGTATGAGATTTAGTATGTCCCATTTCAACTGTAAGTCTTATTTGGGGAATAAAGGTAGAGGCCAGATGATCACACCAGTGAAAAACTCATCTGTTTCATCAACTCTGTAAGAGTGGGTGGTTAACTGGTTGATCTTTGGCTTTTACCCAGCACCCTTGGACCTATGAGTACCATAATGTACATCTTCCTATCTGCTCTGGAGGGAATCCAAGCCATCGGTCTGTGCTACAGGGGCTGGCCGTCCTGTTCCACCTCTTGTCATCTAGCAAGTAGCAAACAAGTCAGTATTTCTTAACACATGACTGTGATTATAGTCCTGATTGCCATTATTACCTTTTTAGTGCACTATGATCTGATAATAAGCATGGGATAATTTTGATTCTTTGGAATTTACTTCAGCATGCTTTGTGGGCATTTATGTGGCTTATTTTGGAGAAAGTTCCATATGCTGCTGAGAAGAATGTGTATTCAATTGATTTTGGATGGAACACTTTGTAGATATCTATTAGGCCCATTTGTTCAAAGGTTTGGTTCAATTTTGATATTTCTTTGTTGATTTTTTGTGTAGTTGGTCTGTCCATTTGTGACAGTGGGGTACTGAGCTCCTCTATTACAATTGCACTGGTGTTTATCTGATTTTTCATAACCATTAGTATTTGTTTTATGAAGGTGGGTATCCCCCATGGCTAACTATAACCCTTTGCAACAACCCCAAGATCCAACCACCTTGGTTAATTTAGGAGGGGAGGATACAGTGTAGTTAGCCCAGTTTCCAGGTCCTCTGGGAGGGGAATGTACTCTAGTATTGTCAGTGTAACGATGGTAATCCGAGTGATGGTTTACAGAAAAATAGTGACAATTAGGCAAACCTGTTAATATCATGCAAATCAGCTACAATAGTATCCACCATGATAAACTGTATGTTAACTTACCAAAAGAATGAATTATGTACCACCTTTAACCCTAGAGAAGAAAACCACAATTATGTGTAAACATTAAGACAACCCAGGTATTGATTTATAGCTAGTATGTACTACCTGTGACAGCTTATCTCCACTAATGGTAGAAAAGAATTTGATAGTAATTTTACACACTTATACTATTAAAGATATAGGGCTTGGGAATGGTGGAATGCTAAAAGAAAATTTTGAAACCTTAAACTATATGATATGAGGAGAAGAGAGTAGTACAAAGGATCTTAATTGGGAAATAGAAGGATGTTTATAGCTTAGGTAAAAGTAGAGGGCAAACTGGCTAGAAATAGAAGGAAAAAGAAAGAAATTATTTAGAGCATAAAGAAGAGAGAAAAATTGAAGGGAGAAAAATTTAAAGGTATAAGAGCAAAAGTAAGAAAAAGACATAAGAAGCAGAGGAGAAGGACAAAGGAAAATTCCTCAAGTCCCAGTAAAATGGTGGAGACAAAAGGAGGAAAAGAAAGAAAAAGAGAATCAAAACAAAACAAAAACACCTAAAATCAATGCACACACCGAGAAAAAACAAAAAACGAGAAAACTAAATTTCTCTGTGATTTCAAATGTGTGTTTTTCTTCTGGGATCTTGAATTTTGGGACAGTGTCCAAGTCAAGACATTTCCCTGCTCACACTAGTAGTTAAAGAAGGAAGTCAGACCCCAGATCTACTACACCAGTAGGCAGTAGAATTAGACCAAAGATCCCAATTCTAGGACTTTCAAATCCACAGCAATTCAGGCTGAGCCTGGCTTGTGGCTGGGAGGTGGGACCTGTCTCCTTTAGCTTAAGCTCTTCAGAGGGTCTCTTGCCAGGCTTTTCATGGCTTCTTGACCATGGCTGGCCCTCACCCAGTCACTGTGGGAACATGACACTGAGAACCCTGAATGAAAGCTGTCCGTCAGCTATTCTGTGTCCTGAGTTCAAACAGTCAGTTCTCTGGAATGGAGTTCAACCCAGCACTCTCTCCAGAGGCCACAACAGGTACTTGGGCTGGAGTCACTCACCGGTTGTTTCAGCTCACAGCATCCACTGGTCCATTCCACTGCTGCATTTCTCCCTGAAGCCCACTGGAGTCCTCAGCTTTCACTTCCTCTCTAGGTTCTTTTCTCAGGAGTTACAACCTGGGAGCCAGAGAGAAAGTGCAGATTATTCCTTCTCCTATAGGTTTTAACTTTCCTGTCAGATCTCTCCTGATTTCCAGGTATCCATGACCTGTTCCTCCTC